AACCCAAATTAAGAACTGCATTTAAATTTTTTCCCTGAAGTACCATAATTTATCTAGTTTCCTACTTTATCTAGTTTCCTACTCTTTTACTGGTATTTCATTTTGCTGTCAGAATTTCATATATAAAAAATGCTGCAATAATCAGGGAAATTCAGTGTGGGAGTGCCCCAATGAATTTTTGCTGCTAAATGGTCTATGTTTTGTTGGTTTACTGTTTAAAGTTCTCTGCAAAAACAGGACCAATTCAAATGTTTTTTCTGATCTTCAGTGGTACACAGAGAAACACCCAAACAGTACAGATCTAAATCATAATGGAAACAAAGATCATACCAGGAAAGTGAACCTTCCAGCAATTTGTTCAGCTACTGAAATTTCTGCTCTGAATTATTTTCTATGCTGCAGCCTCATTTACTTCAGTTCAGTAGAATAACTCCAACTCCTACAGCACCCTGAATGGATTTTGAAAGCTTTGAAAATGGCATTTTTGTGCTCTCAAATGGTAATGAATTTCCTTTGGCTAGTTTCCTTAATTAAAGGGAAGACACAGAGCCAACAGCTGGAAATGAGGGGGCTATGGCTGCAGCAGGGATTGCAGTGAGCTGCCTGGGCACGAGGAATGTGTGCACAGCATGGGGAGATGGGAGCACTGCTGAGTCCAAAATAGAATTCTTGTTCCACAGTTACAGGTCTGGAAAAGAGTTATTTCTATACGTGAATTTTAACTACTTCTGTCAAGCTTTTACCCAGACTGCTAACCATATCTCTGGCTTTCCTCTGCTGTGCTCCTGAGATCACAGACTGAGGATGTCTGTGGGAGAAGCCATCTGAGAAAACATGGAGGCAACTCCAGAGTAGATTCAGGATCAGATGGATGCATGGGAAAGAGGTTAAAAACAGGCCAAAAGCATGAGTGGTGTTAGAGAGAAGTGTTGGAGAGGAAAGGAGTTGGTATCTGAGCTCCAGAGCAGGTACTTGAGCATGGGTTACTCACTCATCAGGTTTTGGAGATTTTGGGTGCTGCTACTGCAAAGGTCTTTTCTGACTGGCATTCCTCATGTTCCCCATGAGCTTGTTACCAGGAGCAAGGCCTAATTACACTCTCCTGAATATGCATCTTCACATTGTGCTCTGCTGTGCCGGAGAGACATACCCTTGAATAACCCCTTCCCCTTCTACAGATATTTGACAGCTACTAATGCAGCAAACACAGTGCAGCAGGGAGTAGGTTATTATTAGCCCTGTTGTGCAGAGAGAGAGAGAGATGAAATGCAGAAATCATATTATTCTGTCAAGTTGCAGAGAAAAAAAATTGTCAGTGTTACTGCTGCACCCATGAGCTCTGGCTTTGGATTAGGAGGTACTTGGATATGAAGTCACAGGTGAAATTCCTTCTGCATCTCTGTCCTCCACTGAAGGCTGTTCTAGGTTTGTACCAGAGGGTCAGTAAGAAAGAACAGCCTTTGGGCTTTCACTTCTCTCTGGCTGCTTCTTGGGAGACAAGAGGGTGGTGGAGACTCTTTTGATGCTGCACCCTGCTCCTCCTCACCCATGGAATTGCCATGGTCTGTTCAGAATTCCTCTAGATAGAAATAGTCAGGCAATGCTCTGTTTTTCAGGGGAGTAATTCTGAAAAGTAGTCTAAAAAGACAGAGAAAGAGCTGATAACCTTTCAGCAGATTAATTTTCTTACTCTTCTGGAAGGAGGCTTTTGGCTAAATGTCATCCAGGTGATGAGTGGACCTTTGTGGAGAATGGGCATTTCTGTGCTTCCTACATTCCTAAATAAGATCTCTGAAATCCTAGTGATGGCCTGGAACTTATCTCCAAAAGAAAGCAATTAATAAAGAGGACTCCAGTCATAAAGCAAGCACTGCAGTACCAATGGGCTGAACTGTGAACTCTTCTCCCTTTTATTGAAGCAAATCAACCATTAGGGCTGGAGTTATGGACTGCCTGAGAGGAACACTGCTGCCATATGGATTAGGAAAAGGCTAAGGAAAAGCAGGGTAGGGTATTGGTCTGGCATCTTGCATCAGTTGTGTGTTCTCCATTAATCATACACATACAGATATCAAAGTTGAGAAAAGAGCTGAATCTGGGATTTCCATTTCAAGGTGGTAGGCACAGGTATCTCTCTGCTCTGAAATGGAGGTAAATCACCATTGCACCTGAAGGATAGCCCTTCCTCAGAAGCACTGGTAAGATCCCAGTGTAGTGCTTCCCCTCAAATTTCTAGCATTTAAAAGGAAAAACAACATTTTTGTTATAACATGTGTAAAGTGCTGAAAGAAGAAGTCAGTCTTGTCTGTGTAAGGCTGCGAGTTTTTGCCTGAAGCAAACTTACAGGATTTATATCCATCTTAATGCAGTTACTGGGAAGTTGAATCACCCTTTTTGGTGAGAACAGAACTGAACTGATGGCTGGTTTTTAGTCCCACAAAGAAGGCAGTGCCTCCAGCATCCACACTAATATATGAAGGAAAATTCATTTTAGTTAGAGCGCAAAGGAAGAAATTGATTTCTTTAGTACTGTGAGAGGGCAACAAGGGAAGTGTAAGAGAATAGAAATATTTAGTAAATTAAATATAAAAAGAAATTTTTTGCTTTAATATCATCTATTTACTGCTTTGGCTCAGTGATTACTTTATGCAAAAGGCAGTAATTTAGCATACTAATGCTCCACAGTGTGACTCCTATTTCTAGCATCTATTGTTGTGATGAATTACATCCATTTTAGCAAAGAAATGGTATCATTGGATGGAATTTGCTGTAGGTATTTTTATCTTGCCTTTACTGACAGATTTAGACATAATGATATTTTAAAAGAAATCTATATACAATTCTTAGAGCCTACTCCCAAAATACATAAAAATGCTGCTTCTGAAGATGATTGGATGTGGTGTCTTAGGGAAGCTGCTATGTATGCTTCAGCAGTTGCACACTGTAAAGATCACCATCTGCATCCAATTGTAAAGCTAGATAAGTACAAGTTTCTTCTAATCAATGAATCTTTTTCTCCCTTTACAGTCATGAGAAGAAGGAAGCATCTAAGCCTGCTGGATGGCTGCAAGCTCCTTCTTCTGTACTCTGGTCTGCATTTGAATGTTTGTAGTTTTGTAGAGCTGCCCCTGGCCTAGGGAACCCATGTGTCTTCCTGTAGAGGCAGCAGGAGGTTGTGTGGCAGAAGGAAATGGAAGCCCAGATGAAGGCAACCAAGGTTATCTTTCCTGCAAAAATCTCCTTCCATTGCCAAGACAGAGAGAAAATTGCTGAAGCTCTATTTCACATTCTTTCATCTTGATGCAATAGCTACTGGAGAAAGGAGCCAGTGGCACAAGTTGATGGAAAAAGAAGTCCTTCAGGGCATCAGAGCTGTGACACTGTGACAAACAGTGGGACACCAGAGGCTGCAGATGACTGGTGGGAAGCAAGGAGCCTTTATTACCTGTGTTGGAAAGCAGAATCACTTCTACACCTCTCAAGGTCAGATCTGGACAATGCCTTGTGTAGGTAGGTGGGAACCAAGAACCTCTGCGCCTGTGTGTACTGTGTGACTAAAATGTGATGGGTGCTAACATTCACAAAGGATAACTAATGAATCAAAAGCAAAGCCTCCCAGAGAGAGGAAAGAAGATGACAGAAAGGTGTACGGGACCTCCAATGTGTATCTGTTGCTTTCTGCAGTAACACCTCAGAGAGAGTTTGTAATATTTGGGGTCAATCTTCACCCTTTCCTGATGGGCAGGAGGTGTCCATATAAAGCTGCCCCAGGGACACCCTGTGTCCAAGCCAGTTACCAACCAGTGCTCACCGCTCTCATCAAACCCATAACAGCTAGCTCTGCCCCCATTCCTTTGGGTTCTCCAACTTTATTTGCCACCTTATAATGATTTATGGGATTTGCTGCCTTATGACATGATTCTTAGCTTAGTGTGAATTATCAGAAGCAGGCTGATGTTAAGGGTGATGGTTTCTTGTTTCAATACTTTTTTGTTTTGGGAGTTCTGGCATTATTTTTATGCAGCTATTATTCCACAATATAATATTATGCTTACTCAAAGTAATTTTTCTTTACTCATGGTAATTGGCTGAGGTTTTCTGTATATGGTAAGGCCAAATTTTACCATATATACCATGGCAAACCATGATCATACAATTCAGTTAAACTAGATGGAAATAATTCCCCACTGAGACTGAGGGTTCAGGGTGGTGTGTAAGGCATCTGGTTAAGCTGTAGACACCTGAACTTTCCTAATTTTGGACTTTAAATGGCCAACTGCTTGCCAAAGCTGCATGCAAAATGGCTTTATGACAGGATAGATTCTAGCTGTCTGCGGCCTCTTACTAGCAATGACAATCCCAAGTCTCCTTGGCCATCATGCTTTACTGCACTGTCAGTGTCTTCAATACATTGGGCAGAAATTAAACTTCATATATGTCAGTCTAAACACTAAACACCTATTAGTAGTAGAAGACAAACTGGAAGCTGTTTTATTCGTCTTTGATTTACAGCTTTCAGAGGGTTGATAACAGCTTTCCAATAACCCCTGGTGCTTTGCTTTTGCTTTTGCATGCACATGCACACACAGAAACCTTCCTCTGATTTCTGAGACTACTGGGATTCATTAGCAAGAGTATTCATCTTGTTAAGCATGCATTAATAGCATCCACTGTAAGTATTAATCTGCTGCTGTCAAGTGATAATTGCAGAACATGGTGATTGCATCAACCTTCATCAAGTCCAGCAGATAGAAAAGTCCTTGCACCCTTGTTTTAGTCACTTGCAGCTGCAAAGATTATTTTTGTGCTTTCAGTCAGGTTAAAAACCTTTGACACATTTCTGATTAGAAAGAACCATAAAATTTTTCTTGCTTCCTAACTTCTGACTGAAGTAATTATTTAGAAATTAATCCCATCCAACACAGGTCAGGTAGGCTAGAATATTCCTAAATCCAAAGTAATAGAGGAGAAAACTCTGGGTTGTCTGCATCCCAACTAACCTTCTTTGTTGCAGTCCACATCAGGCAGTCTCAGACCAAGGTTCGTCTCATCCTGAAGAAAATAGCACACCAACATTTTGGCTACTCCTGGGCAGTGATCCCACAGCACCAAGATGACAATCCAACCACACTGGCTCCCAAGCATGTAACCTGGGAGTAGGCAAGAGGCTGGGAGGGAACATAGTCAGGACAGCTGATCCAAACTGGCCAAAGGGATATTCCATGCCATATTTCTGCTCAGCAATACAAGCTAGGAAAAAGGAGGGAGGTGGTGGGGGGACTCAATCATTATTAACGCATTTGTCTTCCAAAGTAACCACTGCACATACCAAAACCATACTTCCTAGTAGTTGGATGGAAATCACCTGTTGATGGGAAATAGAGAAGAAATTGAGTTATTTTTTCCTGCTTCCACATTTGGTCTTTGCTTGTATTTATTAAATGGCCTTTATCTTGACCCATGAGCATTTCACTTTGTTTTCTCTTCTGTCCTGCTGAGTGGAGGGAGTAAGAGAGTGGCTTGGTGGGCATCTGGTGGCCAGCAAAGGTCAACCCACCATAAAAATTCAGACGAATTTCGCCCATTTCTTCTAGGAGAGGAGGAGCACAGGATGAGTAGCTCAGATATGGGCATTCACAGTAAGGTAAGGTGAACACCACCATCTACATCCTTTCCTGACTGAGGACTGAGTATCTTCATCTCTATTATCAGCTCCTGATATGAGCAACCCTTCTGCAGGCGTGATAGCAAACCCACTTATGTCAGAAGGAGTGTTCACTTGCTGGAAACCACATGAGCTTAACAGCAATATTGGATCCAGATAATGGATCCATTGTTTGGGGTAATTAGCACTCTATGCCTTAGTTTCCCCGTGTGGAATAAATGTTGATTCATACTTACCAAACGCCGAAGACAATGGATGAAAAATTACTCTTTAAAGTCACTCTAACTCTTCCCAGAAAATAATAATCTATGTTTGTCCAAGGCAGAGAATCTCATTTCTTCTGGATATGTTATAGTCTTTCTCACACATTTTTTGTTTTCTAAAAGCCAAGTAGCCTTTTCAGTTAAAGCTTAGGAGGGAGAATATTTTTGATAATTCTAACCTGATTGTTTTTCCAGTTTCTACCTGACATTATTTTTCAACGGATTAATCCAGTCTGTCACAAGGATCTTACAAAGAAATAAGCAATTACTAATTTCTGGCACTCAAATAGAAGCTTTCTTTTGGCTAAACTCCAGAAAGAAAAAAGAAATACAAAGAAGTAGAGCCTTACATGCCAGCAAACAGAAATCCTACTTATTGACAGCTTCCAGGGGCTTTTTTGAGCAAAAGAGCAATACAAGATCTGGTCTCTGGACAATGTTTCTGGTGATGCACAAGCCTGAATAGCATTAAAGGATAGAATTTTGCAATTTCTCTTATGCAGCGAACTGTGAAGTTTTCATTTCTAGGTTATTTTTTTCATCAATTCCTTAATTAAAAGTAATCAGCAGACTGCTAAATATTTTTTTTTGTCTCATAATAGAAACTCACATGCAGATGTAGCATAGAATAGCAATTTCATTTTTTCATTAAGCAATAGTTGACTTGTAATTTCAGGCTGGGAAACTTTGTTTTTGTAGGATTTTACAGGGATACAAAGTAACGTGCTTGTCAGAATTGAACACCTTAGGTACAACAGGAAAAATTCTGGTACAAATTTGTTTACATAGATGATTTTTTATGACAATGAAAATTACCTGAAGTTACACAAGTTGCCACCCTATAGAGTTAGCTAAAGCTTCAAGTTGGATCTGAGTTCTGACCCCACTTTCCTCCATATGCCAGGCCATCTCACTGCAGCCTGTTGAAGTTTTAAGTCAGGTTTAATGCCAGAAAACACTCTGAAAGGATGTAGGAAAAATGTCCCACTGTTTATTTCAGCTGTCATATGTCTGTTTTAAAGTGTAGGTAAAGACAAATCCCCCAGTGACATTTGATACTCCTCCTTCCCCAGAGAACACACAAGGAAATATTCATACACATACCCAAATTTCAGCACTCAAGAGATCCTTCAGGTATGTCCTAAGAAGTTCTACTCACATGGGGGAGTGAACCTGGCAAGATGAAGATTTGCAAAATCATGCAGAGATAGTGGCTGGTTTTAACAGTGTTTCACTCTGCTACCTCTGCTGCTAAGACATAGTTTTAAAAAGCACCATATAAGTATTCCGTAGGTTTGGGGATGTATAACTGGATTGTACTCATATATAAATTCAGGAATTTGAGAAGTGGTTCATAGCAAAGCCCTCTTGCAGAAATTCAGGATGACTACCAACATAAGGTTTGGTGCTGGAAAAACTGGGCTGTAGGGTTGCCTACTGTGTCTCAGTAAGGACCCTGTCCTGATAACTAATGGATAATGATCTGTTCATCCTTGTCCAGTAACAAAGCTCACGAACATACTTAACCATAAACGTTCTGAACCTGTAAGATGTTTGCACATTCCAGTTTGTGCTGGACCTTGAACAGAGCACTTTTGGATAAAGTGGTTTTATACTCAGCAGATCTGCTATTAAATCTGGCGCAGGTGGCCAGTGATATCATGGTCAGCATTTTGAGATGCACTTTGTGCTTAGAAGTCTAGCTTCACGTCAGGGCAAAGACTGATCACGACAAAAAAAAATCTAAATTAACTAATTTAAAGCTCTTATTTTTAATGGTGACATGAAATCAATATGGGTTTGAAAAGAGGCTATTTCAGGCTATGGAAAAAGTCATCTCTTTAGTGAAAAAGATAAGAAAATTTTCCAAACTAGTTTCCACACTTCTGTCACAAGCTCTATCTCCTGCTGGCTCCACAGGGGATGAGAGGTTGGCAAGTTTATCCTGGGTGAAAATCACACATACTGTTCTGAGCAACTCTTGTGCAAATAGCTCTCCTCTGACTGAAAGGCTCTTCTGGCACTTCTCAGCTCAGCTGGCTGGAGAACTCACTTCCATCTTGGATAACTCTTGAGGGTGGGTGGGTCCCCCACCCACTCTGGCCTTTTACCTTATCAACCTTCCTCAAGCACGGAGGTTTCCAAAGTGAAGTATTTGGACTTCCAGACACCTGACTTGCCTCAAACTGTCCTCAGATTGCTAGTGGTTGAAATATGACCAGCCTGGGTGACAATGTGGCACTCTAGCATCCCACCATTGTGACCAAGTGACAAAGGCAGTAGGGAGATGAATTTATGCTTGGTCTGTCTGAAACTCCTGATACTCTGTCAGCCTCAAAACTGTCAGGATTATGCCTGTACCAGCTTGCAGGAGATAATCAGCATGATCTCACACAAGCATACAGAATGTGTTTATCCACTAAAACAGCTTGCTTCCTTCAAGAAATATTTAACCTATGGAATTGCAGACATATTGCAGAATATTTCCAAAACTGGATTTTTTTCTTGTATTTGTGAATCATCAGTGGTCTGCTCCTGTGATATTACGTATTCTATGCAAGAGCAACACATTTTGTAAGTATATATCCCACTTTTGTGCCATAATTGATATTCAAAATTAGGTGGGATACAAACTAAATAAGTTCGAACAAATTATGTTAATATTTGCAGTTCAGAAAAACATATACTAATGAATTTATAAGATAAAGACAGAGAATTTTTTTCTTCTCAAACATATACAAAATTCTCTTTTTATGTAAAATGATCTTTCAGAGGCTGTGATTGAAAAAGACATCTGTTACTCAGGCAAATGAGCACATATTTAAGTTAAGCCACCAGCATAGACTGAATTTAGTGTCTCCACTAATAGGTATGGAATGTAAGAGAGTGCTTGTCTACTCCATGGTTGAGGACCTGCATTTCCATATAAGTATTTAAAAGGAGCTTTATCCAGGAAACATGAATGCCAGTCACAGATGCTACCAAGAGCTCTTCTTCACTCTGTGAGAAAAACTGCCTGAACAGCCCACAGCTCTAAAACCAAAGTAGAAAAAAAATAATTTTAAATTATCCAAATGATGACATTTTTATTATCTCAACTACAGAACTGAAACGTGTGGCCAAAAATACAAATCTAAATGTATAAAGCTCTCTATTACCTTCTGGCATGGAAATTACCTACCTGTCATTTCTAGGACCCTTTCTTAGAATAGCATGATGGATTTGACCACAAGGATACAATTTCCGGTTTTTAAATAATGCAGCACAAACAATTCTGGCTACCTCTGAAAGGAAAAAGAGGCAAAGAAAATATTCTTTAAAATCCTAAACAATTGAGAAAGAGTCAATAAAAGCTGTTTAAAGGGGTTTTAAAGTTTCCATGCTTGGAATTAATCAAAATCTATGTAGATTTGGCCCTGAGCAGCTTGTGCTAGAGGACACTTATTTAGGCAGAATTGGTGGATGGCAGCCTCCAGGTCTCTTTCAACTTCAGCTATTCTATGATAATGTTCTCTTATTATATTCAAGCCTATTTTTTATCCTGATCTGAACTGATTTTCCTGATTTTTCTGATGGAGCAAACAGATGAGAAACTATTTTTTTAAACTCAGAATTAAGCACAGCTGAAAGAAACTGAAAACCTCAGTCATGATCAATTATGAAATGCCAGTTACAGATGATTGCAAAATCTAGACTACAGATAATTTAAACCTTTCTAGCCGGTTTTTAAGTCTATGTGTTTCTTTTTTCTTTTTTTCTTTCCTTTGTAATTGCAAGAGGAGAAACTTTACTTGTTTATGTTTCCAAAACTTGTAAATGCTTTTCTTTGTCTCTGAATCTTGTCTGTACTTGATAGTCTTCTCATAGGATTTTTTTACTGTGAGGTTTTAGCTATTAAATCCAAAAAGATTGCCTTAGGATGAAATCTTCATATGCATTTTTTGCATAACAGAGATTAGGAATTGTGAAAAAAAAACCAATAGCACAAAAAAAATTGCTTGTGCAGGGTTTTTTTTTTGAGATTTGCTACTATTTAAGATAAGTCTTTTTATAACCAACATTTAGACAACCTGCTGTTATTGATCCCACAAAAATCCTGTTTACTATTAGTGGATCGCACACAAACTTACCAGATTGAAAGACTATAGGAACAATGACCTGCAGTCTTACAAGATTTATCATCAAAAAATGTGTCATATTGCTTCTCTTTCCTATGGGCAAGAGTTGAAAATTGTCTAAGCAGGCTATGGGAAATTAAGTTTCAAGATGATTAGGGAGATACTTTCACTTCAAACACTCTTGTGAATATGTTAACTGAGCTTCTGGAAGATTTCCATGGCAATCCTTCAAGGAAATACTCTCACTGGCACAGGCAGTCTTCTACAAACAAAGGACCACGAATTCAGTGATTCACAGCTGGAGATTTAATGTGGATTACGGGTGAATTACTGGGCCCCACCCGTGCCCAGTACAGGGGACAATCCCTGCCTTGCTCCTGCTGGCCACACCAGTGCTGATCCAGGCCAGGGTGCCACTGGCCTTCTTGGCACCTGGGCACTGCTGGCTCATGTTCAGCTGCTGTCAGCCAGCACAGCACCCCCAGTTTCTTTTCCACCAGGAAGCTTCCCAGACACTCTGTCCCAGAGCAGTAGCATTGCACGGGGTTGTTGTGACACAAGTACAAGCCTGGGCACTTTGCCTTGCTGAACCTCATAAAATTGGCCTCAGATCATCAGTCCAGGTTCCTCTGCAGAGCCTTCCTGTCCTCCAGCAGATCAACACTCCAGCCCCACTTGGTCTTGTCTGTGAACTGACTGAAGGTGCACTTGACCCCATCATCCAGAAAACTTTAGCCCGACACTATTTCCAGCTGCAGAAGTTCCAAAGAAATTATGTATTTCACTTACAGAATAGACCTTCTAAAATGTTTACTTTTCCTGGTTACAATTGCATGATCTACTGTTTTTACTAAAAGCAAACCTGAGGAAAAAATATTAATTTTTAAATGTGTTGAAACTCACAGAGTTTAAAACGTAGTTGAATTTGACTTACTGTTTCATCTTGCTCTGCAAGGAAAATTAACAGCTGCCAGATGAATTTCACCTGGATATCTGTTTGTCTATATCTCTTCAGTACCAAGATGAATTGAGGTTTTATTCAAAAAAGGTTAACTCAAGAAATAGTGTTATATAAGGTAGAGTAGAATGAAAATAAGTTCCTCATGTTTCTAGGTTTCAGAATATTGAAGGAATGTCCAGACTCTGGTCTGAGGAGATCTAACACTAGAAAACATACTACAATGACAATGAAAGTGGGCTTACAACTAAATTGTCTTATAATGGAAGAAGAAACCTCCTTTTTCATCCTGGAGTGAGAAAATGTCACCTCTTAAGTATCAGGTAACAGACTTAAGTATGTAAAAAATACAAATTACTCATAAAGAAAAAGTACACTAGGTAAATCCAGCCTGGAACAGAGTACCCTGTAGACAGAGCAGCAGCAACAAGGCTTGCCATGCTACCTTCTACAACATTCTCAAGGGTGAGCTAAGGCAAAATTACCTGGATGAAATTCTTGTCACACAAAAAACTCATTGTGAGCCACAGTCAGAGTGTAATCACAAAGAAGTTACACCAGTACTTACACTTGACTGATTTATCAAGTGCAGCTCCTTCAGGAGTCTGTCCATGACCTAGTACTAACTGTATTTCTGCCCTACCATTCTTTCATTAATATGTGTTGAGACTGAATTTTCAGCTGATAAAAATGGAAGGAACCAGGACTTAAATTCCATGTGACCCTGATAAACTGAAAAAGTAGCCCAACAACACACAACAAAATTCAAAAAAATATTTCACTCTTCTTAGATATATTAACTTTACAATTACTCAGTGGGGGAAAACTGCTTAGGAAACGTTTCTTCAGTGCTACAGAAATCTGAAAGCACCACAAGTCACACAGAAGTCAACAATATAATCTCCAGGACACATGAAGTAATCTTGCTGCTCTCTGTAACTTTATAAAGTTCTCAACCGGAGTTGTGTGAGCAGATTTATGCACCACAACGAGCCACTCAAAGTCTATAAGAAAGCAACAAAGGTAATAATTAGAGGACAGCAGAATGTGTCTCAAGAGGAAAAGTGAAGTGTCGCAGACATCCTTTCACTAAAAATCCTTTCTTTAGGATTTTTCCTTCTGAGAAGATAAGAGGCCTCAGAGACAGAATGCAAACAATTATTATCTGCTGCTGTGGAATGCAACAGGTCTACCTGTGATTGGTCCGTCTTGGATGTGTATAATTAATGGCCAATCAAGGACTGAGCTATCTTGGACAGAGTCTGAGAGAGCTCCTTTGTTATCATTCTTTTCTATTCTGTTCTTAGCATAGCTTGCCTCCTGAGGAACCTTTTCTTTCTATTTCTTTTTAGTATAGTTATAATGTAATATATATATATCATAAAACAATAAGTCAAGCCTTCTGATCATGGAGTCAACATTCTCGTCTCTCCTTTTACCTGAAAACCCTTGTGACCACAGTCACAGTGAAGAGTCTGGGATTCTTGATGCAAAGAAGAAGAATCCCACAGGAGTAGTTTTCAAATATGTGAATGGTATTTTCAAAGAAGGAAATTTTTCAAGTCCATTGAGATTGGGAAAATTGTCAAGATCTAAAACCCACAAAAAAGAAAAACTTAATTTGATAATAGGAAAAGTTTGTCAATAGGTAAGACAGAAAAACATTAGAAAAAATGGCCTAAGAAACGCTCTGAAATTGAGTGTTTATGACAGATGTGTTAGACAAACTTCAAATACTTTACATAATGATTATTTGGGCTGAGAGGTAAATAAAATAAAGTTTTATGGTGCTTTCCTGCTGTATTTTCTATAATTCTAGGAAGCCAAAAACATCTTCCTCGTATCTGTCATTTATCTCCAAGGGCAAACACTTCACTCATAGAATCCACTCAGTGCACTGCAGGTTCTGCCACAGTACTTTTGCTGTGAGCTACACCCATGCTATAGTCTCAGAAAACCAAAACAAGGTTGGTTATTATACAAGTCCCTTAATTTGTACATCATGGAGGCCTTGACAAAGGAAACATCATTGTTCTCATAAGCAAGATATTAAAATGATGAAAGTTGCCCAAAGTCAGTCACAGAGACAGTGACATAAAGATGAAGGGACATTACATCTCTCAAGTTCTTATTTTCTGTGCAGTGTAATAGGCAGACTGGTTCATTCACAGACTCATCCATTTAATTCATTATGTACAGCTTTGAATTCTATAATTGGATATTTTTTATACACCATCTCACCTTTACACCATACCACAAGCACACAAAGATGACCTTCAGTCCCATAAGCATACAAAGAAGGATAATGTTAACTGAAATTTGGCCTTGCTTCTAGTGCAGAAAGGTGGACCAGAGCACCAAGAGTTCTCATCTGGCAACTTAAAATATTCAGTATGTCTATGGTTCTCTAATGAGACAAGAAAGGTCCTACATACAGACTCTTGAGTATTAGTATCTTGAATGTACCTCATGAAGGCTGAAGCCGATTTAGACTGAATTGGAGGTACTCTGAACCATGATGGCAGTCACATACACATCACTACAAGAACAGCTGGAGAAGATGGGCCAAAGAAAGAAGAATGAACTCCAGCACAAACACATCCTCATCTTTCCTTCTGGAACAGGACTGGCTGGGTCATCCTGCCTGCAGAGAGAAAAGACCACACCATGCCTATCTGCAAAGAGGAACCATCCAGACCAAACAGAGCTACTTGTTTGTAGAATAAACCAGTCTTGGTTATAAAACTCTCATTCTGTCTCACTTTCTCTCACCACTGCGTACTGTAGTTCTACTCTTAACCTCTTGTCATCACATCAAACGCAAGGTTCTGACTGGGATCTAGAGTTGCTAAACCTGGCCAGATAAGATTTCATACAGACTCCTACTGAGCCAGGACCTGAATCACAGTCTTAGTGACAAACTGATAACACTGAGGTAAGTTTCCCTAGACAGATTCATTTTCCCTGAACCCTTTTTGTCTCTCTGCCTTCTTTCAATAATTTTTTTTTTCTTCTAGATATCAGCTGGGTTATGCACATACAAAAATTACTTATTGAAGTACAAAATAGGTGAATATAGTGACGCATTTTCTCTTGGCATAGAGACAATTGAGCTAGAAAATAATGATAATAATAAAAGATTGCACGAAGAACAACAGCAACAAAAACTGCAAGAGTATTTTTGTCATTTTTTACTTCTCAAAAACTGTCCCTAGGTACTTTGTGTGTTTCTGAAGTGTTCCTCTTATTCCACTTGCCTAAAGTTGCATTGTGCAGGAGGCTGAATAATCTAACTACGAAGCTGCTCGCTTGTTGTTGGATATGTTCCACACAAATAAAAATTCTGTGGATCACCCAGGATTAATTTTTTTTTAACATTTCAGTATTGACAAATAAGCATTATTTGCAATAAGTAGAAGGTATGTAGTCCATCAGCATGCACCTTCTGTTCTCTATACAATCACACAAAATCTGAGTCTCAGACCATGACTGCTTAAAATCCACCCTGCCAATTTTTTAGCTGTGGTCAATTAAACACTGCTCTGCCATGGGAGGGATACCATTTCTCACAGATGCTCAGCTGACTGCAAAACAAAAGCAGACTGTCACAGACTTGTGGGTGTTTGACAACCTGCTCTGCACAGCTGCGCGCCGAGAATGCAGGACCAAGCACAGTTCAGTCCAGCTCCTGTGATGCATAATTACTTTTATTCTGCTATAATAAAGATGTCATCCTCTCTGTAATTAAACCTGTGAATCATTAAATAGTCACTGCTTTAATATTTACAGAAGCAGTGAGTCTAATTTCTCATGATACTAGTCTCTGGAAGTATTTTTATGATTTGACATATTTTAATGAACTCCAAAATACTTTTTTTCTTTTATCAAATCTGACAGAGAGAAGTTCTTAGACATAGTAGAGTGGCAATTTCCTGGGACTGCAAGGAATCAGTATTTATGTGTCCTGTATATTCTCAGCATATCAACGATATCCATTTTATTTTTTACAGGCTATCAAAAATGACCTTTACTCAGGAAAAGTATACTTAGTTTATCCTTCAGTTCTTCCCACCAGATTCACCAAAGATTCAAAGCCTTGTTTCTTTCATTCCTGAAAGATATCTGGAAGGCAATTGAAGCCTTTAAATCAAGTCTATCTACTTATGGCAAAAGCAAATCAAAGCTGCATCTTCAAAACCCTCTGATTGCAACATCAGCTCTCTGTTGTCACCCCAAATCAATGCCTGAAAATGGCCAAGGATGGTCAAACCTTGTTATCCATAGTCTTTCTGGCTATGACCTGCAGGAAAGCTGATGGTGAAGGCATGCACAGGGCACTTAGCTGGGCTTGTAAGCTCAGATGAGCCCATCATGCACATCTGAGCGCAGCTTAGGTAATATGCAAGCACAAATTATACATAATGTTTAGGTCAGACAGAGATATGGCAATCCTCCCCTGCTGTCTCCATCTCTCCCTCTTAAAAGAGGTTTTGTGGTTAATCACTGCCTGTAGATACTCTTGGACATAGAAACAGAGGCTGATTTGGAGTGACAGCAAATCCAAGGAGATGAAAGAAATAGTTCAGTAACATTGCATCTCCATTTATCCCTACACATATTCATACTCCTGCATGCACATATTTTGCTCTCTCTGGCTTTACATTCTACCAGCCTGTAAGAATGCTTTTAGCATTCTTGCAATAGGAAACCACTTTGGGGTTCCCAGCCTGGGCACTGCTGGAAGGCACAGGAGATGCTCTGGAGTGCTACAGACACTGCTCTTGGGCAGCTGAGCACCCCCTCCTATGGGTTTGTGGGCAAACAGAACGGGGGCACTGCTTTAGCCACTGCCCCTGGCCATTGTGGCCCCTACAATGTGAAATCAGGGTGCTTAAATGCACATTACTGTAATTGGAAAAGAGTGGCTTTCACTCAAACATCAGGCACTTCCTTAAATACTTGGCCACTTCTACTGGCACATGTCCCCATTTCTGTTGCTAATAATAGAAAGAGATATTAAAACCCGAGCTCTAAAATAAAACTCCTAAGGCAGTAAGTGCACATCTGAGAAATGTTGTTTCTCTATCGTTTAGCAGCACACAGGGCAAGGGAAGTCAGTGCTATCCAGCCTGGTACAGCAACATAGTTCAGGGTGCAATGAGCAGATCTGCCCAAAAATGTAGTGCTGTATCCTACAGCCCAGGGATGCCTACACCATCCATTCCCAGGGGTTCCCTTCACCAAGGACACTGAGAAGGCACTGGCTACCGGCAGAGTAGCCCAGCATGTCCCATCTTGGGCTTGCTGCTATTTCAAGTCTAAAGCCCTTCGACAGGAATGCCATGAAGAGCACAAATGCTACATTCCCAATAACTAGGACAGAAATAAAGGAAGAGGGAGACATTTCCAAAAAGTGCTTTGACCTTCTCTCTGCCCCTATCCTCAGCAGTAAAGCAAGCACCAAAAAAAAAAAAATCCAAACAACTGAAATCCTTTCTTGTGCAGTTTGTAAAGACAAATTATGATCATTGAGGACTACATTCCAGAGCACTCAGACATGGAGTTTTTGCATTGTTTTAAATACAAGGAGGAGCAGCAGCTGTGGTGCAGTTCAAACCACACATCAACATATATTAGACCAGATCCTTCCTTCCTTCTGGTTCATCAACTGCTCTAAATGTTTCTAAATAATACACATGGGCTGCTCTGACTCTGAAGTAGATAGAGCACAATTTGGCATGTGGCAAACTGTTTTGCTGATGCTGCAATGATTTTCCCTGACTCTTGGGGCCTAGTTGCAAACACTGAAAACCAGTAGTTTAATTTAGTGGAACACGTCCTTGCAGCTTCTATTTCTTTATCACCAAGGAATAATAACTCAATAAAATTAAACCAAGATTTTTCACCCTTTTAGACTCTGGAAATTACATTTAGGCACTTATTTAAGCACTTTGGTGCACCTACAAATTTCACTCTAGTCAAGATACAGATGCTCAAAACATACGGATCCCTGTAAATTTCCATTCGGATGTCTCCACCCTTCTCACTGAAGCCATTTGTGCACATGCCTAACAGGACTCTACTTAAGTCAGAAGAGCTGAATTAAGCACCTAAGTAAACACAAGCCAGACTCTGTAGAATTAGGAGACAAGGGGTTTTGACAAGAATATAAAAAATGTACCAATCTAATTTAAATTGACAGTACCTCTTCCCACTCTTCTTCTCCCCACTGCAGTGTGATACAGTTCTCACCTACCTTCTCACACAAAATATTTGGAGTTTCTTTTTGCCCAGGATCACTTCTATTGTTGCAGAAAAAAACTGCTCATTAATGTGAAAGGGTTTTGTAAATAAGGCCAGAAGAAAAAAAAAATCCTTTTCCTAAATATCAGTTATAGGGATCCAAATTAGAGTTAGTGAAATTTGAAGCTTTTCATCCCTAGCCAAGAGGAATAAATGCTGGACAGCTTTGCTAGCTGCTCCTGCCAGCCAGACAATGCCAGAGCAAGGACATAAAAGCTAACAGAAACAAAATGCATACCAGTGTATTTCATAGATCTAGGGAAGAAACCATGTGCTGCTAGGAAAATGAGATTGTAATTAATATCTCCAGCTTCTCAAAATTTCATTTCACATATTGGGATTAATCTGGTTTATAAAATTTCCCAAATTCTTGATTTCTCTGGAACTTTAACTTTCATTATCTCCTAGAGCTTTTGTTTTGGTTCTTTTAAGGAGCAAATATTTATATTTAGAATTTAAAATGGTACATAAATCTCTTAAACATTGTTAATGACTGCAATGAGGCATTTTGTTCAGGCACATTAATTAAACTTGGAGCTCATTACACCTGACAGAAATGGTATCTGGAATTTACAGAGATTTCTTTTGAGATTATCATGAAGAAGAAAGATTCTCCAAAGCCTGGATTATTACCCTGCATTTCAGATGACAGATTCAGATCCTCAAAGTACACAGGATTCAAACAGGTTGACACAAAGGTATTCCAAGAGAGGACTTACTTTGAAACTTAAGACAAAAAATAGTTAGACTTCATCTGGCAAAACTCACCTTAATTGACTCTGACGAGCAATCCTGCAGTTTTTGAGACTTCTTCAAATGAGCATTTGCACAGATAAGGAGTGTTCACCAATCTTCCAGTGAACACTATTCCAGCAATTTCATAGGGTGGGATCTCATTTAGCTGTCTCACTCATTTGTTTTGCAAGCATCTTCTCATGTGCTGGTTTAAAGAAAAGAAGAAAAACAAGGGTTTTTTTGACATGATCCACCTGAGCATTATTTAACAATTATTTTGCATGAGATCAAGAGAGCAATTCCTCTCAACTCATAGAATCACAGAATCATAGATTGGTTTGGGTTGGAAGGGACCTTAAAGTTACTGAGTTCCAACCCCCCTGACATGAGTGGTACCTTCCACTAGAACAGGTTGCTCAAAGCCCCATCCAACCTGGCCTTGCACACTTCCAGAGATGAGGTATCCACACTGTCTTACACTGGAAAATGTGCACCAATGCCTCACCCCCTTCATGGTGAAGAATTTCTTCCTTAGATCTAATCTGAACATACCTCTTATAGTTTAAAGGTCATTCCTTCATATGTTATCACTACACACCCTTGTCAAAAGTCCCTCCAGCTCTCTTGTATTCCCTCTAGGTGCTGAAAGATGCTAGTTCTCTCCTCTAGGCTAAACAGCCCCAACTCTCTCAGCCTGTCTTAATAGGAGAAGTACTCCAGCCTCTGAGCATCTTCCTCATCTCCTCTGGACTTGCTCCCACAGGTCCGTGTCCTTCTTACATTGGGACTCCCAGAGCTGGACGCAGCATTCCAGGTGGGATCCCACCAGCACAGAGCAGAGGGGCAGAGTCTCCTTCCTCACCTTTCTGGCCACACTGCTCTGGATGCAGATCAGGACATGGGTGGCTTTATGAGCTGCAGTTGCCCATTGCTGGGACCTGCTGAGCTTCTCCTGAGCCAACAGCCCAAGTCCTTCTCCCCAGGGCTGCTCTCAATACCTCCTCCTCCCAGCCTGCGTGTTTGCTTGGGATTGTCCCAACCCACGTGCAGGACCTGGCACTTGGCCTTCTATTGAGCTACTGAACTTCATGAGGTTCACACAGGCCCACCTCTCAAGCCTGTCCAGGTCCCTCTGGATGGCCTCCCTTCCCTCCAGTGTGTCAGCTGCACCACAGGGCTTGGCAAAGCTGCTGAGGGTGCCCTCAGCACCCTCATCCAGTGAACAGTGAATCCACAGTTCACATCAACGAAAAAGACATTAAAGAGCACCAGTCCCAATAATAATCCCCAAGGAATTCCACTTGTCACTAACGTCCACTTGGACATCAAGATATTAAACACAACTCTAAACACAATTTGTCCTTAGAGAAAGCTGCGTGTTTCTTGCTGTTACAGTTCAGGAAAGGGTTCTTTAATTCAAAACAAAATTATGCATTTTTTCAGTTTTCCAGACCCAGATCCCCAGCTATAATGGGCAAGTGACACTACCATCCATGCATTTGCACTCTTAAAAAGACACCAAATAAGCCAGCTCATACTGACTGAACCAGCACAAGGTAAAGAGAGGGAGGTGTACTGAAGGGCAAGAGAGAATTAAGAGCAAAGAATGGGAAAAAACCCCTAAGATTACAACTTGTGGCAAAGGGAAATAGGATATATACTCTGTAAGAAAAGCTGTATCAATATTGGTCAGTAAAAGACTCTCAAGTCACTTTGCGAGTCATGTCTCTTTTATCCTTAACTAAAAAATAATTCCGCTAGTGTCTCTTCTATCTTCTATGTGTTCAAGAGTCCTTTTGAAACCTGCCTTGGAAGGCAGCCAACAAGTCTCTGCCACTGTGCAGAGGATCTGCAGCTGAATACCAATTGATTTCACTCTGTAATACACTGGGGCTTGATCTATGCACCCAGTGCAGAAAAGAAGACTGAACTCTTAGTAACTTGCTTTGATAAAGTGAACATCATGAAGTAGAGGACTGGGACTAGTAGATATGAATTATCTTTGCCATCCAAATGGCACAACAAAGACATCCTGAGAGAGTTCTGGTAGCTCTGCTGTTGTCCTGATAGTTATAGTGCAGCTCAAACCAGCAAAAAATTTAGTCTTTCACAATCAGAGGTCTGCAACACCTAGCAGATTGTAGAAAAGATCCTATAAAACATAGGAAACAGTGGACTGTAGATAAGGCACAGAGAAAATTTCCATGATAAACTGAAGAAGCAAAGGTACTCCTTGAGCTACCTTTGCTTTTTCAGTTTATCAGGGAAATTTTCTTGCCTGAATAGCAAACTCACCTTCTAATAATACTAACTGTCATGTAAGATATAAAAGTGCCATGCTGAGATCACTGGGCATCTTTTCCTTTTGTGAGATCAAGGCTTTCTGAAAGACTTCTGCCAGTTCATACAGAGCCAGGTATCACTCAGCCATATTGAACGGCAGAGCAAGGGGAAACACAACTGAGCATTCTTTTTCCACTGTATGTTCAATCTACATGTGAGCTACATAATTAATGCCTTGCAGCCAGGGGCTGTCTGTGAATAAAAATCCAAATGAAAAAGAGAACATAGGGAAGCAGAAGGTCACTCTTGGGTCAATAAGCCCAGTCTAAGCTCATAGACCCTTTTGAACCTCAGTTTGGATATCTAAGCATTGTATTTCTCCACCTCAGAAGGGTACTGGAGTGAAGAGCACAGAGAAGGATGCAGCCGGAGCAAGGTGCACACAGACAAGCCCTGTTATCTTGAGGAAGTCTTAAACTGGAGTTTAACCACTCATTAATCATCATTAGTTTTCATCAGGGACTTCATAGTCTCTCAGATTTCGTTAAATGTTCTGCTAGTATTTCCTCCAAAATCCCTAACATACAATTTTCAGTTATAGAATTGGTCGAGCCACATTCTCTTATTTGCAATTATTTGAGAGTCAACAATATCTGTTCATCCTGGAATGTGCTCGGATAATAATTATCATTCTTGATTAGTTTAAAATCTGACGTGCAACTCTAAATGAAAACCATCATCCATTTTGTCAATAATAAATATGAGATGCAATAAAGCAAAGTTTGCAGAAATGAGCACAGACAATTTCGAGCTTCTACCCCAAATATTGTGCATTCTGTTCTGGCAAGAAAAAAAGAAGACCAAAAAAAATTTGGAAACTTTTAAAAACAAAGTGGCAGACACAAGTTCCCAAGGAAAAGTAAAGATCATTCTTTCCTACTGTAGATCACTTACAGAAATTCAAAAAGTGAAACTCGTTTCTCATATTTACACAACCCAAGAGGTTTCCTGCTCTTCATCATTCCAGTATGTCAGAATGTTAGGGCATTTTATAGAAAGTGACAGGCTGACCTGTGCTTTCCTCTGGGTTTATCAGCAAACAGGATGTCTTCTTCTTTTTGAGGTTGCCTAAGGTAATTCCTAAGTGACACAGGGATTTCCCAGTGGCTCATCTCATTTTGCATGCTACAGATATACTTGGAAGAATCCTAGGCAGTACAGTCCTGGAGAAAAGAATGGTGGAGAGCAGATTCATATCAAAGCCTTCTACAAGCTCAAGAGCAGTCCAATCCAACATGCAAAACCCTATCAAATGTGTAATAGGAGGTCTGCATGCATGAACAAGGAGCTTCTGACTAAACTTAAACATAGAAAGGAAGCATACAAGCAGTGTCAGATCAACCAGGAGGAATATAAAGATACTGCCCAAAAACCCACACACACACATAAAAAATAAAAGAAACAGAAAAAATAAACCTGGAGCTGAATCTGGCAAAAGACAAGAAGAACAGTAAGAAAAGTTTCTTCAGCTCTATAAAAAGCAGAAAATAGATTATGGAAAATTTGTGCTTCAGTATTTACTGATAGAAGTGGACTTCTAAACAAGATAAAGAAATCTAGATAAGGCAATTTCCCCTCAATGAGGGGAAACAGGTCAGATAACACTTGAACTGGACATACATAAGCCCATGGGAACTAATGACAGCTGAGAAGCTCTTTGATGATGTCATGAGGTTACTCTTGCTGTAGTAGTCCAGGCAACTGGAGGAATTTCCTAAGGACTGACAGAAAGCAAATGTCACTCCTATCTTCAAGAACAGCAAGAAGGAGGATCCAGAGAAGTACAGACATTCAGCCTCAACTTGATCCTTGGGAAGGTGATGGAGCACTTCAAATTTGTTTAGCACAAGTAGGTGACTGAAAGTTGTCAGCACAAATTTATGAAGGGAAAATCATGCCTGAACAAAAAGAGCCTTCCATAAGAAGATGAGTATCTTACTGGATAAGGGGAGAGTACTGTATGTTCTTCATTTTGATTTTAGCAAAACCAAGCCTCCCATAACTTAGTGACAAACAGATGAAGCACAAACTAGACAAATGGACAGCAAGGTGGGCAGAAAACTGTTAACAAGTGCCAGGCTGAAAATGTTATGGTCATCAGGACAGTGTCCAATGGAGGCCACGCATTAGTGATGCACCTCAGGGCTGGTATTAAGCCAAAACTGCTCACCATCTTCACAAACGACCCATTAAATGGGACAGACTGCATCCTCAGCAGGTTTTTAGGGAATTCAAAAATAGAAGGAGCATTTTATGCACTGGAAGGTTGTGGTTCCATACAGAGAGACCTCAACAAACTGGAGAAATGAGCCAACTCATAACAGATTGAAATGCAGCTTTGCAGAGGCAAGACATTGAATACGAACCAGAATTGGGTAGTTGTGGCAAAGAAAATCAAAAGTATAATGTGATGCTTTAGGTAGAGCATTGCCAGAAGGTGAAGGGAGGGGATCTTCCCCTGCTACTCAGCAATGGTGAAACATCTGAAGTGCTGGGTAAGTACTGGAGTCCTCAACACAAGAAAGACAGGAGTGAGTCTAGTAAAAGTCATTCAGGAGTTGTAGCGTCTGCCATGCAAGGAGAGGTCAAGAGAGCTGGGACTGTTCAGCCTGTAAAACAGAAGGCTCTGAGGCATCTTTTCAGTGTCTATAAATACCTGATGGAATGGAATAATGAAGATGCAATCAACCTCTCCTTAGCGATGGCCAGTTACAGGACAAGAGGCAATGCATACAAATTAGAAAAAAAGAAAATTCAATCTAAGCTTCTTTTTTTTTTTTTTTTTTTTTTTACTTTGAGGAGAGTAAAGCACTTGTGCATGTTGCCCAGACAGTCTGTGTTTGAGTAATACTTTGGGAGATC